TTGCAGGCTGGACTCATTCATGACATGCAAATGTATGTAAGCTATTCTGAACTGATTCGAGCATTATTGTTATGCATTAACTTGTGTACGATAAGAAGGTTTTTATGTATTATGTGATAGTTATTTCATATATATATATATATATATATATATGTAGTATCGGGGAGAAGGGCCTAAGAAACGTCGAGCCAACTATAGACAATGCCGCGAGAGCCGAGGCGCTGTCGGCTCCATCAATGCGTTATCGGGTCCTTCAAATAAATAGCTTCGCCGAAAAGACCTACGTGACCCTGGCTACGAGCGTCCACGGAACACGTGTGCGGTGCACCTAGCAAAAGACAAAAGAATGCTACAACGGCCAGAGAGTCAGTTGAGAAGCAGAGTGCGAGTTAAGCGGACACAGAGTGTGCATCGACGTGCGACGATATTATAATCGGTCTTTTTGTTCTTAAATATCGCTGATTTAAACTACACTAAACTCTATATATATTCCTCTTGTATTTGAATATCACTTTTTAAAATACATTAAACTTTGAACCTACCATCATTACTTGTCCTTACTCTAAGAATCCATCAGTTACTACATATATATATGTATGTCGAGTTATCGTTAGATTTAGGAGCGTGTAACGAATCTTCATTCGGACTAGCCATCGTTGTAGTAGCATAGAGATTATATTTATTGGTATAAATATAATTTTTACAGAGTTTGACAAATAACCGTGGTGACTAGACACTCGAGATGTTATTGACAATCTTCTTAGGTTCAATAACGAATCCACGGTCAACGGGGCAACTCTTTGTTAAACGTAGAATATATTTTGAAGCACAAGGTAACGTTTGCTGTGACGCTCGTTATATACTGTACGTAAAGACGAAGTGATACTCTCCGAGAAGATCGCAAGAATAAAAGACTGATGGAAACTGTCCTCTCCTTACGATCGCGTTCGTTTGTTGTATATTGGCCGGGGATACCAACAAAATTTCAACCGCCGTTGCTAGGCAGTTCCGCGTAGCGGCGACATTGTTTCTGCCCGGGGTTTGATTGTTCATACAACGTGTGTCCCACAATATTGGCACTTCTCTGTTAGGTAAAAACGTCCATTCTTTTTTTTTTATTATTATTGAAATTTTACAATTTGTCCAGTAGGACACTTGGTAAAATATTATAGCTTAGTGGTATAATAATATAACTATATAATGTGGATGACTATCCCCAGCGGGGTTCCATCTTCCAAGTTGTTTATTTCATTTCTATTGTAAGGTCTGCGGGGTGCTTCTTCTTCAGTCTTCTTTCTATTATGATTTTATTCGTTTCAGCAACCAGCTGGTTTGGGTGTGTACGTCCATCCCGTGACCGTGGCTACGTTCGGCGACCAGTTGTGTCACCTCGAGCCCAAGCCCACCGTCACAAATCTCGGGCGAACATAATCGGATTGAATCATAATTACTTCTAAGTTTTATTATTTAAGTACAGCTATAATAAATAGTCCAGACTAACGTATTGGGGATCTTCCCAAAAATTCCAAAAGAAAGGCCCCGATGTCCTTTCATCTCCGACATATATATATATAATATATATATTGTAGGATCTTTACTACAATTACTTTATTTACAATAAATAGATTAAGCAGATGTTGGTTAAACAGGAAACGATGGTTGTTTAACGTGAATTAATCACAATAACGTATTCTAATTAAGACAACTAGATAGTTAATTTGCAACTCTCGTAACCACGGATCCAACGCCCTCTCTCACGCGGACCACACTCTCTCGACAACGCAATTCGCACTCTCTGACTTCACAACTCACAATCTGTGGCGTCTCAACTCACACTGACTGTTAATTTGTCTTTGTCCCTTAGCAACCCCTTGTCTTTTGTCTTAGCCCCACGTCTTCTGTGTTACTCCCCACCACGCACGTGTTCCACAACCGCTCGTGGCCAGGGTCACGCAGACCTTTTTCGCGAAACTATTCGATTGAAAGACCGACGATGCATTGTTGGGCCTGTCGGCATTTCGGCTTTCTCGTGACATTGTTTATAGTTCGCTCGATATCTCTTAGGCCTTTCGTCTACGATACTACAATATATATATATACAGAATTAGTTGCATTACTTCAAAAAAGTATTTATTTTAGGTTTTGCTTTTTTATATGAGGTTCTATATATTTACATTATTTTAATATTTTATTGTAAAATATAAAGATACTTATATATATCTATGGTACAATCACATTTCCAATAATATTTATTTACTTTAATTTTATTGAGAAGTGATATTTAAGCTTAGGCATAAGAATAATACACATAATAAAGACTGTTTAACTTTAAAAAATTAAGAAAACGTTTTATTATTCAATGTTATATCTTTTTCAACATACATATGTACCTTAATCTGTTCCTCCATATAATTACCCTCTCAAATTTAAACATTTATCATAGTTCACAAGTTTTAAAACCCCCTTGCTGTAGTTGTTCACTGCCAGATCATTTAACACGATAAGTATTACGCGAATATTATATGTTTTGCCATTGAAACCGCAATAAACATTTAATTTTTGCACAATATCATGTTATATTTGCACACTTTTTCTCTAACAATATTATTTGAATCCACATTGTTGGAAACTTGTTCAGTTCATGGAAATTTTCTTACTTTAATCAGTAAGAAACATTTAGCAAGCGGTGGATCACCGATGACTATCTCAGCAGTCAACATATCAACCAATTGTTGACTGCTGACTGTTAAGCTGACTGTTAACTTTAAAGATCTTTGCATTGCGTTTCATTTATGAATTATCAAAGCATGATTTTTCCTTAGTATCAGCTTTCTCTGTACAATCCTCGGAGATACGGTAAATCAAAGTTGTTGGTTTTATAACGTGAAAGTTTTAAACCAAAATTGGAAAGAACTTTTTGTTCAGTATCGATTTGTAATCCTTTTCTCTTAATGTTGATAGCTGTCTGACGTGCTCTAAATTTATATATATTCTAGTCTCATTTTTCTTCTTTATTTCACTATCTACGCTTGAGATAAAGGAGAATACAAGATCCAAATATTGTTTCGTTTGTCCCAAGGAAATAATTATGTATAAAGCGAGATCAGGCGCCATTTTTTTTTTAAATAAATTTTGAAGATTCCTGAAAAAAGATCCGTTGCATTTTCTTGCGATAAATTACGATGTTACAAGCTGTTATTTCTTTGCCGTTAGCACCGTTTATGCGATGCACATTTATGGCATAGGACCGGAATATTGTGTTTTGCTTGATTAGTATGCCTATCTCTATATCTAACGTTTCTATATCTATATAGTTCTATATCTTAACGTTTGTTGACCATTATAAACCGGGGATTCGTTGAAGAAGAAGAATACATCCTGGTCAGTGTTAGATATGAAATTGCAAATTTTTGAATTCTTTTTTTCTCTTTCCATCAAAGTTTTTAGTGCCATAACGCAAGATTAGGCACGCCCCCACAAGGCATTTACACATTGATAGAACTAATTAACCAAATTTTATTAGATCCAAGCTCGTATTAAATATGAACTTGGCCAATAAAAATGGGCCAAAGTCATTGTATGAACCAAAGAGTCGCTAAAACGATAGACATCTTCCAAACTTTATATTTACATCGATCTTCAAAACGATTTTATAAAGCATTTCTGCGGTACAGCTTGTTTGTGCAACTTGTATGATTTGATTGTGCAGTTTGTGCAGTTGCGACATTTTGTACTTTATTTATCAAATGATAGTGCATTGAAAAATATTATGATGTCAGCACCTGGAACTTCTCAAGCAACGTGCACTTCATTATCCAGAAATGAGCTTGTAGAGTCTCCCAGAAATTGTCCCTCAACCAGTTTTAAAGACAAGAGTAACTGTTATGTAAAAAGGATATTGGCTGTCAAAGGAAACCACGCAATGTTTACGACATTTTGTAAGCGAAACAAATGTACTATAATAAATAAATTACAATAATTTTTGAAATAAAAATTGTTCGCGGTTAGAGGGAAGAATTGAATTTCTACTAAGTAAAATATATAATGAAAATTTTGGAAAATCATCGATTGATTTTACTAAAGTCAGTGAAAAACGATTCAAAAGAAGAAAGATTGAAGAACTATGTACGAGCAAGTATTTATTCCGGGGAACTCTCTTACGCTGTTCAAACGCAGTTCAAAAAACACCATAAATTAGATATTGTCAACGTTATAAAAGACGTAATTTGCCAGTCAGAATGTGTTGCTGAATATAAGAATGCACAGAGGAAAATTAGTCTCCCTATAAAGCTATACTCACGCAATAACGAAGGCAAAATTAACAAAACGTCAATATAATATTGTAAGAAATCTAGCGAAAATGCACAACAGTACCCGCATTATGGATCTTGAAATTTAAAATCATTATGGAAACTTGAAAGGACTGTTATGCCAAAAATATCATTATCACTGAAGCGTAACAAAACATATTGGATCACACAGTTCTGAGGATATTTCGATTTCAAGAGGAAATCAGTATCATGAACGCTAATAATTTAAATAATCTTAATTCAATAGTTAAATGGAGATGCGATGGAGCATTTGGAATAAGCGAGTTTGAGCGAGGATTTGTAAACTCCACTATTTGCGACTCAAGCATATTTGTTTCATTGCAGTTTAAAATCATCATATTAGAGTCATATTAACATTAAAGTCATATTAGATGCCCCAAATAATGTAGAACAAATCCTGTTATGGTAGAATTTCCAAACATCCTCGCCAAGATTTTGCAGGCGTATTCGAATTCATTATATACACGAGACAGCAAATGTGATGATACAAATGTGACAAGAGATACAAAAGATTGAAAATTAAGCAAAACTTTGAAGTTCGACCACAGTGAAAATTGAGGATACATAATGTACCACCAGTTACGCATTGCTGCATGTTTACGATGATCGATGGGAAGGTACGTAATACGATATCAAAAAATTCCGCGACATGTTGAAGATGTTACCTTTGCCGAGTGACCTGCAAGGACTTCGATAATATCGATTTGACCATGAAACAAAATATCGAGGACGAATCAAAATTGAGATTTGGAATATCGCCATTACCGAGCAGATAAAATGTTTCAAATGCTTACTGCATCAATCTTATAGCCAGCTAGTTCGAGGTAACACACCAAGAGGAAAGTAGCGGAGAATAAGTAAAAAATACAAAAATCTTTCGGAATTGAGATGAGTTTGCTTGTAGATAAATCTGAATCCAGGATTTGGTACAAGTGATGATGGAAATATTGCTCGCTGATTTTCATCTAATGCACCTAATCTTCATGATGAGCATCCATCTAATAAAAATAGATTTTTTTTCACACACACTGCTTAGAGACTGCGAAGGAATTTATGAAGCTATATGGGTGATATAACCTGCCAACGGCTGTACATAAAATATTGATTCATTTCTTCCAATTGGATAACTGGGAGAAGAAGCACAAGAAAAGCACAAGAAAACCGCAACGAAGATAAAGAAAACAATAGAAGATATTTTTCATAATTTGCTTGTATCCTTGGATCGATATAGCGTAAGCAGTATAAGAGGAATATAACCCACAAAGGCAAAAAATATCCCAAAAACGTCATTCAGTTTTTTGATATAATACTTGGTATCCTCAATTTGCCAAAATTTGCCAAAAATCATCCAAATTTGATTTTGCAGGAGGGGGATGAGAATGAGAACAAGAAGAAGAAGAATTAACATCATATAGTAAAGATTAAGAAACTATTAAATATACATCAGAATGTATTTTACATTTTTATACTTGTAGGTAATTATCAACGTTTCTATTTTTTATATTTTATCAAAATTATTTTTATACCTAATATTTAACATTAAAAAGTATATTATTATTGTTATTTTAGAATCATATCTGCAATTTATTCCAATAATCTATTTTAGATTTAAAGATACTACTTTCAACCAGGATTTCGACAAAATTTCTCACTGTGAGACGGGTCGACTAAAGGGCCGATTAGCAAGATATTTTAGTAAGTTGCTCAGTGTGTGAAGGCGAAAATATGGTTGACTAGGTTTGTCGACGGTCGACTAGTCGACTCGACCAATTCTAGACGACCGATTTAGTCGACCCGCCTGTAACCGCTCTTATGGAAAAGATGAAGATCGTTCGGAGCAAGGCCCGGATTATAGGGTGGATGATCTCACCCAAAACTACCCAACAGAGGTCGGTCTTTATTTACTGAATTATTTTCATATCTTCGTCTCCGTACCTCTTAATTTTTGTGCTTCCTGGCCTGATAAATTGTTTCTAAGGCTAATAGATATACGATATCTTATAAAAAAGAAGCAATTACTTGTTATCCCGTTATCTTTCTATTACTGTTTGAAATAATCAAATATTTGACAAACAAATTATTTTCAAATTATCAAATAAGGTTTTGGAATTTATTTTCAAATAAAAATTAATTTGCTTCTTAGATTTTAAACTTTTCAAAGACTAGATTATTTGTGATTCTTCAGTGTGTGATTCTTTCAATTTATTTGTTGTTTCATTTGATGCAATTATTTATCTTTTTTGTGTGTCATTTTCGCTTTAAATAGAAAAAGCACATCCTCGCGAAACATTTTAGAGGAAAAGTGGATATCATTTAAATAAAGTATTTGAAGAAATGGTTATTTCAGTAATATATCACTTTAAGTGGACCTTGTAGTCATTTTAATCTTGTAGTAGTATTGTATGAAAGAGAAAATAATTTTTTTCTCAATTGTTTCGTTATTTGATTGTTAAATGAAATAATTTTTCATTTTATGGAATTAAGAATTTGATATAAGAATCTAACATAGTGTAGAAAACTAGAAATAAGAATACAATTTTTATTTCGGATAATCGAAAACTCGTATAATACGGAAAGGTCTAATAGTGTTCATAAATCGTATAATAAAATCGTAAGAAACATTTTGATACTGTACTGTATATATTTTTAGATTTAGTTCATTATTTTATCGGCTGAAAATTTGATTAATTGTCTTCACAGTACCTGATGATTTACGCTTCCGAAAAAAATTTCGAAAAAAATGAAGTTACGATAAAGTTCAAAGCACCTCGGACAATATGGAATTTTGATTAAACGGGACTCCGAGAACCGAGACTCTACCGTAGTAATACATTTTTCATTCTATTTGTTTTTTGAATAAATATTCTCCGAAATAACTTCTATTTCGACTACGTCAACTGTGTCTACAGTAAAGATTTTCTCAGATTGCCCCACGTATACACAGCCTTGCACATTTATTATTCAAGCGTAATTGAAGTGGGGACCATTCAGTAAGTAAATAGTATTCTCCTGTAACAAACATTGGCTAATTTTGTTTGAAATAAAAATGAAGTAACAATAACTTGAAATAACGATGTTATTTCAACCAATTTCTTATTTTTATTTTAAGAGCAACTTATAAACTGTATGTGCAACTTGTGTAATTTTATTTTATATTAAGGACGAATAAATATACCAGTAATATTCTATTCTATATTAGCTAAATTTCAGATAAAAATACTTTTATTAATATCAATTTGAATTTTAAATGCTATATTTTGCAAATATGTATGTATGTATATATGTATTCTAATCGTGAACGATAGAACCACATTATTTAACAACCTAACGGCATTTATTCTCATGCCCGAATGTTGGAAAGAAATGGACTTGAAGATGGGAAGAGGAAAGAGAACGAAGGGCATGAATTACGAAGAGCATAAACGTAAGAGAATTCAGAACATCGGGTACAGAAGATCAACTTGGCAAAAGTCCTAGTACAGATAGGCAGAGTAGAGACAAGCACAATATGAAAGAATAATAAAAGAAAGATAAAATAGGAGGAACAGAGAATCAAGAGAGGAAAGCAGTGCAGAGTATCTAAAGAAGAAATACAGAGAAAGGGATCAAGCTATGATAGTGAGATTCAGATGCGGTAATGAGGAAAGAGTCAATAAATTCAGGGTAAAATCAGAGGAGAAGAACTGTAGATTACGTGGACCAGGAGAAGAGACAATGGAAAATTTTATTGAAGAGTGCGGATAAGTTGAAAGAGAAGAAGAATTAAGCAAAAGGATGCTCATGTGGGCACAAGAGGAACGAAAGAAATGGGTGAGGAAAATAGGAGAAAAAAGAAGGAAGTTCGCTGAAGTACCAAAAGTATTCGGAGCTTTTTTAATATTTCAAGTACAGCAACTATAATAATGAAATAAGTAAATTATAATAATATGTATATGAACCCCAACTCTGTAGACATAGCCATGTATCAACCCTTTTTCAAGACCGAACAGTAAAAAAATAAAGTTACCTATCCAACATTTATGCTCAAAATTGTTCTCATTTCAGTTATCCTTGAACATCTAATAAACGCATGAATCTGTATTGAAAATTAGGAGAGCATCTCAATTTTCAAGGAAACAAAGAATTCCGAGATTTTTACTGTATCTCAATAGTAATTGACGTATCATAAACGCACGGAGTCTCAATTTCTACGATTAGTTTTACACAGTGATACAATGGCTACAAAAGATATTTTCATTCCATTATATTTATTGTAGCGTTTACAGTAGCTCGCGAAAGCAATGGTACACTTGTCGACACATTTTATGAATATATTACGTGTATTATATGGAACATTTAAACATTTTATTAACGCTGTAACGACACTCAACTATCACGATTATAATGGTAAAATTTTGAACAATTTTGAGAATGTATGCAGAAGTTGCAAGATATTTAACACAAGTACATATAATAGTTTGCAGAGACCATAAAAATATTTAAATGAGCAATTATAAAAGAATCACAAAACACTATTTTTAACATTTATTATACGGTTAAGATGTCTGCTCATACTGTACATTAATTTTTTTGTTAAATATAAGTTTGCGCTATCTTGCAGCTTGTATTATATTGTCAGTTTGGGTTTCAATTTTGCACATATGCTCATGCTAGTTCAAAATATTTTATATGGTATGCATCATATAAAGGAAAAATTTTCTGTGGCAAGTGCAGCTAGAAATATTTTTGCGAGCCACTGCGCATACTAATCAATTAGGTCCAAGTATATTAAATTCGGTATCGCTCAATAGTATTTTCATATGAGTTAACAAATTTCATACTATGAAAATGAAATATGGAAACTGACAAAAACGCTTCACTGAAATATAAAGCTATGCGTAAATATTTTTTCTAGCCACTCTATATACAATAAGTATATATATCATGATACGCGTCCTAACACACAGATACTCGTGCGAGCAGAGTCCATCAGACTAATTCGTCACGCGGATACGTGTATCGTGATACGTGGATAATGATTGCACATTAGAATGAGGTGAGATACGATTCCCGTAACATATATGTAGTATCGCGACACTACATATTTATTTTCTGTACTCCAATAACTTACAATCAGAGGTAAACAATTTTCCGTATTTACGTAATTTAACGAATAATTATTTCAAAATAATGAGACAATGAATATGAGCCAAATATTTTATTCAACTATTTCCTTACGATTATATTGTACTTTCATTGTTTGCGATTAAAAAGTTTATACAAAATATAGTATCCAAAACCCAAAAATTATTCATTATTTTATCAATAATGTAAGGTATTATTTGAAAATGGTTAATCTGATTTTTATATAAAATACTATTTACTTTGCACACAAATTATTTCGAAAATAGAAATAATAAATTAGTTTACGTATCTGCTTATTCTCCACCTTCAAGCACGCTGAGGCTTGGCCAGGTTTAATTTACAAAAAGAAGACTTTTATTGCTTTATCTGTTTGAATATTAATTTCATTATTATCAATGTCTTGTCATTTTTGGCATAGCAGCATAACATTCTTATTCAGCATAGCAACCGCGATCACACAGTGTCAATTCAGACCACCCGTATTTTGTCACAAGAGCTCGATATTCATGATTAGTGTGGTAACTGCCCAACTCCAATCGATTGATTCCCTGACATAGCAACTGCCCAATACACCATATGTATAAAAGCGCCAAAGAAATCAATAGAGAGTTTCAGTTCAATCAGCATTCAATCAAGCGTGTAATTATTATCTCTTTGCGCTTTGCTATTCTGGAAATAAGTTACAAGTTACAAATTTTTAAGTTTTCATTTGTTTCTTAAAGGGATGGAACTTTGTAACAATGTTGTTCGTGTTTCAATATGTAACATGATATGAGTACAACAAACTTTATTATATTCGAACTATTATCTGTAATTAATAAAAAAAAAAAAATAACCTGCACATAAACATGACCTATACTTATTCTCAATAATCATATTATTCGTTCATGAATCTTTTCGTGTGTTTTTTCGCGAATCTACTTCACTTTTGGTTGGTGCGCAGAGTACATTGCAAGTAGCATAGGAATTAGGACTATTACTTACAGTTGACTTGAGAATGAACGCGTTAATAAGGATCTCGACTATTTTTTATCGTTTGATCCTCTTTAATTATTTTGAATCGCGTCAAGTGCCGGCGTTATTAGCGGTTGGTTTTGGCACAATTAGTTTTTGGACTATGAACGTGAGAGAGAATGACTGACATACAATTTTAGGAGGATTCTGAATTACTAGAAATCGCGTTGTGATAAACACTATACAACTACGAATAAATCGCGTTGCAGAGGTGTCGGTCGAAAATCGACTGGGAGTTTTTAAATCCCAATCGATATTTTCTCGAGTAAAGCAGCGTAAAATGCAGAAGAAGAAGAAAATGATAGCGTAACGTTAAATATATCTATAACTATTTCTTGGTATTTTTGGTAAGAGCCACTTCGGAGTTGATAAATATATAAAAAAAAGAAATTCATTATTATTATACTTTAAAGTTACTCGATAGTTTTAAAAATGATTTTGCACTATTGAATTCAGCTTTTAAAAATTAAAATAAGAAACAGATATTCCTCTAATGGCTCGTGTTTGAAAAAACTGCATTGGTTTATGCATTGAATTTCACGAATCAATTTTGACAACATATTGGTAAATTCAATGAAAGTTGTAATATTAAAAACTGCAATGCACAATAAATGTAATAATGAATTATAATTTGTAATATTACAAATATTACTAATACGGCACGATATAAAATCTTCTAGATCTTACTCTCAAGTGTTTCATTTTTGTCCATTGAGCGAAAAACAGTGGTGTCGCCAGGAACCAGGTTGTCAGTGACCATTGGATTCCTGAGAATATATGAGCTCTCACGTACGTGGTCATGGCAACCAGTGAGTTGTCAACGACCATGAAAGCGCGAGAAACTGGCCGCAGCGAGCAGTTGGTCGCTACGACCAATGAAGTACATTAAATCAAGTGCATGTGCCCACTAATACCTCCAAACAAGTTTATGGAGCTGTTTCTAAAGCAAAGTCCGGGTAATTATTCGCATAATTATTGTCAAACTATCAGAGCCGGCTCAAATATCGTGGCAGCCGATTCATGGGCTATGCTGTATAATATAAAACATTTTATCAGTCTCGTAGATTCCATTCTTATAAACCATGTATATATATGGTTTATAAAAAGACATATACGTAATAATATACATTAACGATTAATTCTTAATTTTAATTCTATTATTAATATTAATATTGTTGCATGGGCGCTGCTCTTCTTCCATACCTTTTGTCTGTTTAAACTAATAATAAGCTATTTTAAAGTAAACGATATGGTGCGGTACAAATCAAAACACGTTCGCATATGTTAACAATAAGTTATGATATACAGAGTGTCACATCTAAGTCAACTCCTACTAAGATTTTCGGAACTATTCGTGATATTGAAAGATGTTTCCAACAAAAATTAAATGCATTTAAGGGGGACGTAAATTGATGTCACTAGCTTTTAGTCAGCTTAGTATAAATCAGAAAGGATTTAATTTAATGGAATCGTCTACTTAGTGCAAATTTAATCATTCAATTATCGGGAAATTCATTGTCAACTTTAATTTATTCAGTTTGTATCATTCAAGAAAATCTCATTACCAAACTCAATCAAGGTACTTGGATCAAGGCAGTCCAATCTCGAATCAATTTCTAGAACTTAGTCCCTGGTTATCTACAACAATCCGGGGATGATCGGAATATTCTATTTTGACCATCCGCTCCTCGGCAAAGGTGCTCATACTAATTATGAAACGAGGTCGAAAGTGTTGACTTATTCGTTGTCCCGTTCTTGTTAAACTCCTCTCTTGGGGAGAAAGAATCAATATCCAGTTTGGATATTTATTTTAGTGATCTATGAATTTGTATTTCGCGTGTACTTTCACCCGTTCGTTTGTCCTCCGACTTTTGCCGCTGGAATCTACATTCGCGAACTGGCTCCAGCGTTATCTTGCAACATGGTACAATCGAGCAGATCCTACGTGAAGACGTATGTCGAAAATAGAGAATAAGCTTTTATCAGTTGAGTCACTATCTTCGAAGAAAACCGACTTTTGTTCGGTATATGTGAATTTGACGAGTTATCGATTGGTTATAAGTAAACCGCCAGCACAAAGTTATTCTATGTACTCTATGTGCGAAAATAAGTAAAAAGTGTAGAATAATATTTTTCCTTTTAAGATCACGTTTTCAAGAAAACAAGGTTTAGTTAAGAATTGGCTCGGTACACGTGTACGTTGATCAATTTTTAAATTTCATTTTCTCAGAAACGAAACATTCTACGACAGAAGATTATTCTATATTTCTAACTTATTTTTACACATAAAATAATCTGCTATCGATTATTCGCTCGGAGCGTTTTCGATTTGTTTTATCATGTGAAATTACTTTCTTGCCAATTGTATCAATCGACACACACGATATACATTCTGTATATTTATACTAAATATATTATAATTTTTATATACAGGGTGGTTGATAACTGGCGGTACAAGCGGAAAGGTGGTGATTCTACGCGAAAAAAGAAGTCGAAAATATAGAATAAAAACCACTTTTTAATTTTTTTTTACTTTTTCTATCGAGACAACGATCTTCAGTGAGATCCGTTATAACGTACTGCACGCGTACCGAGCGAAAATTCAAAGTCGATTTTCTCGAAAACAAAGTCTCAAACGAAAAATTTTTATTCTATATTTTCGAC